ATGAACTGACTCGCCTTAATAACCGGAGTGTGCCAGAGGGTCGTTGCGAAGTAGAAGGAGCAGTTAGGCCTAATTTACCAAGATACGCTGCGGGAGAAGATATAGCAAACTATTTAATGAGGTTGACGCGTACGCTGTCCGATTGGGGAGTCTCCTCACTGGTAAAGCAGCAGATATATATACTTCGCTCTCACCTGAAGTAACAAGTGAGTATGGGAGCCTTAAGAAAATAGCTCTCTTAAGCGATCTTGTAAAACCCCGAACAGCTACAGAGCGACTTCAGACAGTCGAAAATAAAGAGTGGGGAAACGTTTTATCAATTTGCTGTACAATTAGGTCGAATATTTGATTTGTGGATAGATTCTGGTCATGTGGATGTATATGATGACTCTCTTCGTTCACATTTATGAACCTAGACCGGTTTATCGCTTCACTTCATACTGTATCCAATTTAGACGATGCAGTGCAACTGGCAGACAACTGGAGCTCACGTTACGTTTCCGAAGTCAGAGTTCGCAACCGACAGGAGTAAGAGGAATGTCATTATCAAAGCACTCAGCTCCCCGACAACACTAACGGTCACATAAACCGGAGGGTCCTAAGAACCCCTTTTGGTTTAAAGACAATTCAAGCAATCGGGGAGTAAGTTTTTGTTTCGAAGATTATCCAGCAATAAAGTATATCACCCCAGGAACTGTAAACGGGGTATGGGATTCAAATCTACAAAGGTAGAGGGAGATGAAGATATATAGAAATAGATAGATAGATAGATAGAGAGAGAGAGAGAGAGAGAGAGAGAGAGAGAGAGAGAGAGAGAGAGAGAGAGAGAAGAGAGAGAGAGAGAGAGAGAGAGAGAGAGAGAGAGAGAAGAGCCAAGGAGCAGGAGTGCCTTCTTTATTTCAATGAACCTACACATTGTAGAGCTTGTAGTTTCCTTCTTCAATCTTAGAAGAATTAAAGATTAGCACTGAAATAAGAGAGAGAGAGAGAGAGAGAGAGAGAGAGAGAGAGAGAGAGAGAGAGAGAGAGAGAGAGAGAGAGAGAGAGAGAGAGAGAGAGAGAGAAAGAGAGAGAGAGAGAGAAGAGAGAGAGAGAGAGAGAGAGCGAGAGAGAGAGAGAGCGAGAGCGAGAGAGACGAGAGAGAGAGAGAGAGAGAGAGAGAGAGAGAGAGAGAGAGAGAGAGAGAGAGAGAGAGAGAGAGAGAGAGAGAGAGAGAGAGAGAGAGAGAGAGAGAGAAAGAGAGAGAGAGAGAGAGAGAGAGAGAGAGAGAGAGAGAGAGAGAGAGAGAGAGAGAGAGAGGAGAGAGAGAGAGAGAGAGAGAGGAAGGAAGGGAGGGTGTGTGTGTGTGTGTGTGTGTGTGTGTGTGTGTGTGTGTGTTGTGTGTGTTGTGTGTGTGTGGTGTGTGTGTTGTGTGTGTGTGTGTGTGTGTGTGAGAGAGAGAGAGAGAGAGAGAGAGAGAGGGAGGGAGAGAGAGAGAGAGAGAGATTCAGATTCATAAGTTTATTTACCAGAAAATGGTTAATGGTAAGGCAGTCTGCTGAGCAAAGCTCCCTAGCAGACGTGGTGCTACATATCAAGTGCAAAATGGGCAATCACAATGATTAAATATACACATAATTTAGACTACAGAGTTGGTCACAAAATATATAAAGAAAATAAACTTAACTAACAAGAAAAATGTGTTTAAGAAATCATAAAAATCAATAACGACAAATGCATTTTAAAACTATTGAATGGACAAAAATCATAAGAAAGATCTAATACATTATACATTAGAAAATATTTACTATTAACGATGGAGAACTTTGGAAAAAAAATAATATCATATGTCTAAACAAATGCATAACTAGTGAGTGAACATATATTAAACAAAAGAACAATGGGCCTATGCCAAAGGTATAGAAGTGAAAATAAAGTAATGCATTTATAAAAAACGAACATTGCTAGGAAGGTAAACATAAAATTGATAAAAGACATAGATACATATCCAAAGAAGAAACTTTGTATAAAATTCCATATTCTAGATACAGACAAACAATATTGTCTGATTTTTGTTTTGTTTTACAAACTAAAAAATACAGATAATATTGCTAAGTGAACACAAAACACAAGGAAACATATAAACTTGAAACCTATCTACAATTTTCTTTTTATCATCGAACAGTTTTAATTATAATAATAAAACCATAAGATACTTACAGCATGGAAAATACTTGTTTTTTTTAAAGCTTATCTTGAAATATTTGTAGGATTCTATAGACTTTAATGAGTTAGGGAGATTAATCCAAGTACGAGGTCCAGTACACAAGACTGATTTCTCTAATAGTTGCGTGCGCACTTGTGTATACAGAATATTTGTTATTTCCTCTAGTGTTATGTATATGTTCAATATTTGTAAACATAGTTTGAATTACCATACAATTTACATACCTTAACACTGTAAGAGCTACATTATACATTATACAACAGATCACAATTTAAGAGTTTTAATGCTTTAAATATGGGCTTTGTAGGCTCATATTTTGATTTGTGGGCCATAATTCTCACTAGCTTTAATTGTTTTCAAGTATAATCCATAAGAGTCTCCTAAAGTGCTATACAGTAGATCATATGGGGGTATGCTAGAGAGTAATAAATGCATTTTATAGCTTCTGTAGGTATGTGATGTCTTACTTTGTATAAAATTCCACAAAGTCTAGATACAGACAAACAAACTGAATTGATATGTTTCCATGTCAAATTTTCATCAATGATAACTCCAAGGAACTTCCATTTATATACAGCGGATTTAATTGCGGAAGCCTATTGCAGGTATTGCATTGCGGTGGAAAGATATAAATTTCGTTTTCTCGATATTCAGTACTAGTCTGTTTGCTTTCACCCACTTATTTATTTTTCCACTTCCTGATTTAGGGATTCATCTGCACATAAAATATTTCTGTCGTCAGCATATAAGACAAATTCAACTTTATTACTGGACTAAAAATAAAGGCCGAGTATGGAACCCTGTGGAACCCCGAGGAATATATATTTTAATTCAGAATAATCCTCATTACAATATACTGTTTGTTTTCTATTTTCTGCATAGCTTTTTAGTAAATTGTGCGGGAGGCCTCTAACCCCTATACTTAGGAACTTATTACGCAGGATATCATGATTTATCATGTCAAATGCTTTTGAAAAGTCTAAGTATATACCAGCAACATGTAGTTTAGAATCAATAGCTTTGTAGATATAGCTTGTAAAATCAATAAATACGATTTCTGTTGACAAACCTTTTCTAAATCCGAATTAGGTGTTTGAAAATATTGAATTCATTTCTAAGTAATTCGTGATGCGACTTGTGATTGCTCTTACAAAGACCTGTGTTCATATTGACATCCTTAAGGATGTTAATACGAACACAGGTCTATAGTTCTTAACCAGGGTTGGGTCACCGTCTTTGAAAACCGCCATAATTTTAACGATCTTTAATTTTTCTGGGAAGATACCTGATTGGAAAGACAGATTGATTAGAAGTTATGACAGAGAGAATAGAGGGTAATGCTGCTTTTAATATTTTCGGTGGAATGTCATCAATACCAGCTGCGGTAGGTTGTAATGCATTAATGTGATTTTCTATTTCGCGCTCTGTAACGGGCGATAGATACATAGAGTAATTGGCAGGAGGCTTCAAGTAGGTACCATAACCATCATCTTCATTTGTTATATTCTTAGTTAGCGTATCACCTATATTTATGAAATAATAATTAAATGTTTCACAAGTTTTTATATAATCAGTACAATGGAGAGATATTTGTGCTCGAGAATTACTGTTACGTCCTAATGCTGAATTCATTGATTTCTATGTAGATTTAGTATTACCTTGGTTTTGAAATTGATTGTTGTAATACTTTTCCTTTGCAATGCGTATTAAAGTCGTTAATTTGTTCCGGTATTATTTATACTGCTTTGAATAAGTGATGGGCCATTTCTTAGGTAATCGCTCCAGCCTGTACCTTCTTTATGCTTTTCAGGAGACCCGAAGTTATATATGGCCTAATTTCATGCTTCTTATTACATCGAAACGTATTTTGGGGGAAATTATAATCAAAAATAGTTTTATCTTGAAACTCATCATAAGCTTCGTTAGAACCATTTTCAGCATAAACATGACTCCAGTCCAGGGCACTTATATCGGTTACAAAGTTTTTAATATTTCTCTCTCTAAAAAATCTTTTCACCCAAAACCATCACAATTATCCACGTGTTCAACAGAAAACTGAGAGATCACGGGATAGTGATCACTTAGGTCTATCACAATTATAAGATTATGAACATTTTTTTCGATATTATTCGTCCATATATTATTGATTACCGTTGCTGAGGTAGTTTGTATCCTTGTAGGTTTATTTATAGTGGGGAAGTATGCGTTTGAGTACATAGAAGTTACGAATTCATTGATTAAAATGTTACTCTTCGTTTTTAAAAGGTCGAGATTCCAGTCACCACATAAATGTATATATTTATTGTTCATTGTGGCCATCTGGTCGAATAAAGAATTAATTTTACAAATAAATTCCCTTAAATTTCCTCTTGGAGGTCGATACACAGAGAGCACTGAAAAAAAAGGCCTTGCGAATATTTAACTTCCACAACCACGCTTTCAAGATACTTTTCAGTAAAGCAAAATAAAAATTGTTTGTGCGACATACATGAATCCGAA